TTGCAACAATTCTTTACCAAGAAATACGTTTATGGTAAATTTTTGGAAAGTGGGCACCGCCCACTTATGATCACATATTAGTATATCGGTAACCGTTCTACCAATTTGTACCAAACTCGGTGTGGTTATTGCGCTGGTGAAAAAACATATATTTAATACTTGCGCCGGGTATTTAATGTTCGGCTCCGTCCGAACTTAGACTTTCTTACTTGTTCATATATGACATTTCGATGGCGCTCAGTCACTTGTTATTTTATTTACAGAACTCACGTGTATTATAACTGATAGACAGCAAGGCATTGACAGAAGAAGTGCAAGCGTTTCGAAAAAGACACCATTTAGAAATTAGTTAACGCACATATAATTATTTTTATGTAAGTGGTTTTTTTTGTTTTACTCAGTGTTATTTGGCTATACAATTTTAACACTTCTGAAAAAAAGTTTGGAACTTGCGTCACAATTTGTTGCATTTTTTTGCAGTCCCTTACAAAGTTTTAAACTTGAGCTTGTATGATTTTTGAAGTGAAACTTCTTTAGCGGCGGTTGGTTGGTTGGGAGTAAATTGGCAAATTCAATGGAAATGTCACACGGAAATAGTGCAACGGAAATGGTTGGGGCTGAAACAAGTGCTTCTTGTGAGTATGGATATTATATTAATTTAACAAAAATTTGCTAATAAAAGGTTAAAGAATAACACTTAGAAAAAGACCAATACAAGAGTGAACGTAAAGGTGACTATATACATAGATAAAGAAAAGGCTAAAGGCAAAGGTAAAAATAAAAACAAAAACAAAGATGCGTAAAGATAAAGGCAGAAAGGAAGACCAAGGTAAATTTAAACACTTTTCATATACATTTATATAAGGGCAAAGTTGAAGCTGAATATGTAGATGAAGAAAATGATAAACATAAAAGTAAAGACAAAGAGGAGGATGAGGATACCGATAAAAGTAAAGGTGAAGATGGGAGAAGAAAGATTAAAATAAAGGTTATTAAAGAGGAAAGGATATAGAGGGAGACACAGAGACCCAATGTGGGAACTATTTTGAGATTTTAGAGATTTTCGGGACTTATTGAGAAAATAATAGATATTTTTATCGGTTGTGTTATCGATATATTTATCGACTTTTTTCGATATCGTTATCAATTTTGCTATCGATATTTTCGGAACTTATCTATATAATAATGGAACTTTTTATCGATATTTGTATCTATTTCGTAATCGATATTTTTAACTATTTTGTTAGCGATATTTCTTATCGATTTTGTTATCGATATTTTTGTGGATTTTGTTATCGATATTTACCGATTTTGTTGTCGATATTTATCGATTTTATTGTCAATATTTATCGATTTGGTTATCGATATTTATAGGTTTTGTTATCGATATTTTTATTGATTTTGGTATCGATATTTACCGAATTTGTTATAGATCATGTTATCGATATATATCGAGTTTGTTATCGAAGTTTATCGATATTTATCGATTTTGTTATCGATATTTATCGATTTTGTTATCGATATCTATCGATATTTACCGATTTTGTTATCGATATTCATCGATTTTGTTGTTATTTTTATAGGTTTTGTTATGGATATTTTTATAGATTTTGTGATGTATATTTTTATCGACTTTGTTATGGATCTTTTTATCGAGTTTCTAATAGATTTTGCAAACTGATATTATTATAGATTTTGTTATCAAAATTTTTATAGAATTTTTCATCGATTTTGTTATCGATTTTTTTATCGGTTTTGTTTTCGATATTTTATTAGATGTTACTATCGATTTTATTATCGATAGAGTATAAAGATAAAAATGAAGATAAAGGAAAACATAATAACATAAATCTAATTAGAACGAACAGGGGTAGAGGTAGGGATCTAGATAGAAAACGGACAAAAAAATATAACCTTAACAAAAGCAGATGTATGTATGTATATACATATGGTCACCTGAAATGCAAAATGACGTAACATTATCGGCACTGAAATGCAAAAAGTCGTATCTCCCCACATCGTTTTATTGAAAAATAAGAAATAATTAGCCACGACTTTTTCCATTTCAGTGACGATGTTGTTACGTTATTTTGCATTTCAGGTGACAATATGTAGGTATGTATATTGGTTATGAGACAAAATAGATATGTATGTAACGTAAGTTTCACTTCTCCAGTGTAGCCAAGGCGCACTTACTTTTTTGGTTGGAGAATGAACTTTATTTTAATTGAAAATTCTTATTAGTATATACTACCCGGCCCACCTTTAGGTTAGATTAGGTTAGGTTAGGTTAACTCGGCTGCCCTAATCCTACAGGAAAAGGGGCACACTTAATTTGTCATTTTTTTATTATTTATCAAGAATTGGTATTCTAGCACAGAAACCAAAAGCTTTTTTCTTGATAAATTATCAAGATTGAAAATGCTATTGACAAATTGAAATTTCATGTGAAATGTAGACATTTTGTATATTAATAAATTTGTTTCTAACAATTAAATACTCCATGTGCCGGCATTTGAACCTGCGACACACGGAATTATAGTCGACATCTCTAGCTACTCGGCTACGACAGTCAAAAGCTTTGTTGCTTTTAAATCCATATTTTTCATATGTGACAATGAAATCAGTTCCACACATGTGGAAATCAGTTCCACTTATGTGGAAATCGTAGAGCTTTTTGTTTTATAAATATTGACACAGAATACGAGGGAAGCTTTTACTTGATAAAAATCTTGATAAAATTTCTTTACAAAAAATTTATCAAGAAAACACAGAATTGGGCCGTTAGGCCACCATGGGCCCGTTGTGGTGCCGTACAAGAGACTCCATAGGTCCCTCCTTTTACCCTAGTAATGGAACCACTTCGTAGCTCTGATGAAGCGCACAAAGTCATAGACGCTGGCTGAATCCAGTTCGGCCAGACATTCAAAAGAATAATGGAGGAACGAGCGTCGGCGAGCTCTCGCCAGTGCAGGACAGTGGCATAAGTAATGCTCTACGCTTTCGACTTCCTCCTCATCGCGGCATTCTAGTGGGGTGNCGGAGGAACGAGCGTCGGCGAGCTCTCGCCAGTGCAGGACAGTGGCATAAGTAATGCTCTACGCTTTCGACTTCCTCCTCATCGCGGCATTCTAGTGGGGTGGATTCCCATCAGGCAATGCCCGGTGAGAACTCCAATAACATGCCGCAGCAGTGGTCGCTCCAAGTGGAGGAGGGGGCGAGATCTACGCTTGCCGGCCCACCTTTAGTTCGCACACTTCTCACTTGTAGTTCATACAATCTTGAAGTTAAAAAATATTTCAAACTGTATGAACTAAAGGTGGGCAGGGTAGTACTATCGATAGCGCTATCGATAGTTTGACAACACTAGTCACCACAATAAAACTATATTATGCAGGTCGGTCGCGTTTATTCGCTCGAATACTAATAATAATAACAATATCTCAATTTATACCAAAATTTGTTGGTAATTTTTTAATAAAATTTAATATAAGACAAGAGGAAGATCTCTGTATGTTCCAGCATAATAAAATAGTTTACAATATATAAATTTTACCTATAGATAAAACATATTTTGGTAATTTTTTTAATTTTGGCACACATTTTGGTTCCCAAAAAAAAAAACGAGACGCAAGTGGCAATCGTGCTCTGAAGTAGAACATAAATATGTATAAGGCATTGTATAAAAAGAATAACTTGCCAGCATTAGGCCTGGGATTTAGAAATGTTTTTGAAACTTATGTACTCGAATAACATTGTCCTAAGGCGTAAAATTTGACATCGCTTGTTTCCTAATCTACAATACATAATATATTTTGACGTAATATTTTTTGCACGAGTGCGTAGTTCCCCTACAACGAAGACAAATAAGACGTTACGTCTTCTTTTTCACACAAAGGGTGCAAACACATATGTTTTATAGTTTAATTAATAAACTATTTTAGTACAACTTCAAAAATAAAAAAATCGTATAAAAGGGCTTCGGAAAACTAAAGCCGCTGTCAGTCTACTCTCGAGTTCCAGAAGTGACTTTTGGTGATCGTTGAGCACTTTAGTTTTCTGTAAAAGTAAAAGGATATTACGGGTAAATATTTCAATCTAAAATTGTTTTAAGTACTAGTGCGTTGGACTCAAAAACACAGCGACTACGAATTAAGTGATAAACTCCAATGCTGAAAGTATACAACGCAGCTTGCATTGCCAGTAGCAGATCTGAGTTAGGGGAAACCATTTCACGACTTACGTCGAGAATAGTGTCATCCTTGTCCGGACGAATAGGATATGCGATCTTGAACCGAACTTTCGGAAGGTCTTGTGCAGCTGCAATCGCTATCGACGGTTGGAGTAAGGGTACGGCGATAGTTGATCTGGAAACGCGCATTTAGACCAAAATTTAGGTTCCAAAATGCACAAAGGAGTAGGAGCTTCATTTTACTACTCTAAACCCGAAATTTGCAGATCTTTTAAGCTAACGAACTACTGTGCTACTCGTATTTTTCAGTTCGTAATTTTGGCAATAATGAAAACAGCAAATTTATTGCAGGAAGCAGATAAACTTCTACCTTGAAAGTTAGGCAGCTATTAATGCTTTTTGGGTGGCAGGAAACAGAGGTGTTGATGGTAACGCCACGTCTCCACCTTCTACACATTTTGTTAGAAAAGCTGTGTTGAGACAGAAATGTCCACTGTTTCCACTGTTAAACCATATCTGTCTTAACATCAGCTGGCATTTCGTAGTTTGACAACTCAGTTTTCATTTCACCGCGCCATCTACATTGGCTACAGATCGATCTGATTGGCTTGATGCCATTTTGAGAGTGATATGTTAAGACAGCAAGTGGCCCTCATAAGAAAACGGGACAAAGTTAAAACAGCAATTTGACAGATGTTAAGACATATTTAGTAGAAAATGGAGACGTGGGGTAACGAAGTTCCGTCGGAATGCTTACAGTTAGCAATCGAAAAAGGGCTGCCCAGTAGCTCGTTTCTGTAACTATTCTCTACCAAAGCGAATTCGTATATGAATTCGAAGCCCTGTTCTCTACTGCTAATGAGTAGTAGAGAATGACGTAATATTCTCTACCAGTCGAGAAGTAATTGGTAGAGAAGCGTTACAGAAACGAGCTACAGATCTATAAGTGGCAGCTCGTTTGGCGGTATAGTGCGACGCTTCTTGTTCAGAACTCATGCGGTTTTTGTGGGGACATTTAACCTGCAATTATAGCAGAGTGAAATAATGGAATTCCAAACTCTCATCATTAATGCATAATTAGGTTCTGGGAAGGATTATTTCTATATACAGACATATGTACATATGTATGTATGTATGTATGTCCTCGCATATTTGCACTAATCTTACAAGTTTATTCGTTTTTTGTTTTCTTTTTTGCAGCAACAACATGTCTTACCTCTACACCCATTGTGGTTGTCCGGTGTCTTCACCACTCACGCCTACATTGGCCAGCATCTGTGGTGGCAGCGCCTACGTGCTCTTCATGGGCCTGCTCGAGGTCTTCCTCCGCTCGCAATGCGATATTGAGGATCCCTGTGGTCGTGCCACTCCAAGAGTAAGTCAATAATAATGAAATGAGTAAAAAAATATAAGTATTAGGGTGCTTTTTTCGGCGGAATTTTTTTTTTCACTTCCACCTCTAAATTGTGTAGGGAATACCTAAAAAATATGCCCTGAAAACTTGAGCACCTAATATTAATACTTATTAAGTAATTGACCAAGGCGTGCAAATATTTCCCGTTCAAAATACACGTAAAATTTTAGTTTTTTTCTTCAAAAGTCTACAGCTCAGACGCTTTGTACGCCTTGGTCGAGCACTTAATATTAATATTGAGAGCTCAAATTTTCAGGATTTTTTTTAAAGTATTTCCCACACAATTTCGAGGTGGAATTAAAAAAAATTGCAGCCGTAAATAACGCACCCTAATAAGTATAAATGTATATTAAAAAATTATAATATACAGTTAATCGCAACGGTCTAGCTGCAGAGAAGTTTTCTTAATGTATGCATATTGTTTTTTAATCTTTTTCGCTTTTTTTTTTATAAAAATATGGTTCACTACACAACTATGGCTACAACACAGAAAAAAAATTTATTTTTCAACTTTGTACAAAACTCAGGCAAATGTTATAATTTTTCTTAAAATAGTTTAACTGCTATTAATTTTTAATTTAATTTTTATATAATCAAAATTTTACCAAACATTCTGATAAGGAAGCCTATTTATTGAATATNACTGCTATTAATTTTTAATTTAATTTTTATATAATCAAAATTTTACCAAACATTCTGATAAGGAAGCCTATTTATTGAATATTCCTGAGTTTTGCGCAAAGCTTAGAAATTTTATTTTATTTTTTTTTTTTTAGAAAAAGTTAGCGAAATGAAAGATAAATAAAAAATCCTTGCATACATTGTGAAAATATCTCTGTACCTAGACTTTTGTGGTTGGCTCTACGTTAGGGTGGTCAAAAAAAAGTTTAAAATGTTAAGCTCTCACCCCCTAGGATATTTCTGAATGAAAAAATACCTGTATTTTATTGTTAAAAACCTGATATTTAGAGGTGTCCCAAAAACCCCAAAAAAATACAAAGGGGTGCCCGTAAAAAATCGTTAGTATTAGAAAATGGTAACATAACAATTGGGTATAATATAAAATAAAATACATGGACAACTTCATGGGCTTTTCAGGCATTTCTAAATACACGTTTTTGAAAAAAAAATTACGGGTATTCTTATTTTCCATTTAGAAAAATCCTAGGCAGTGAGAACTTAACATTTAAAACCTCTTTGTCCTCATGTATTTTGATTCACCTTAAATTTCAATCTGTATTTTTGTGAAATTTTCTCTCTCACATTTTAGTTCCGATCGGAACCCGATAGTGAATATGATTTTGTTGTGATTGGTGGCGGTACTGCTGGTTCGGCTGCTGCTGCGCGTCTCTCCGAAGTATTTCATTGGAAAGTGTTACTCATCGAAACGGGTAAGTTTCAAATTATTGTTGTTGCATTAAGGAAGCACCAAATAAGTTAAACATTTTCGTTGTTCACTTTCATTCCAGGTGATGACGAACCAATTGGATCACAAGTGCCTTCACTTTCCTTAGATTACATTGGGAGTGACATTGATTACAAATATAAAACTCAACCGGAGAAGGTAGGGTGCCTTGGAGATGCCAATCAGGCGTGCACTTGGCCTCGTGGCAAAGTATTGGGCGGCACATCTGTGATAAATGGTATGATGTACAATCGCGGCAATCGGGAGGACTATGACAATTGGGCATCCTTGGGTAATACCGGTTGGTCGTACGACGATATATTGCCGTTCTATAAGAAATCTGAAAATAATTTGCAAATTAATGAGGTTGACACCGCTTTGCATGGCATCGGTGGACCGCTACCAGTTTCACATTTCCCCTACAATCCACCATTGTCTTATGCGATCTTAAGGGGTGGTGAGCAATTGGGTAAGTTGCGAGCGTGATTTTAAAATACAATTGTAACATGTAAAACGCACCTTAGATGCATTTAGTGTAAGCAAGTGATGTGACATTACATGACGTCATTTGGCGTACCTCACATTATGTGGCACGACATAATGTGGCATTACATGATGTGACATCACAGCAAGTATCATTGCAAAGCATATACATACATACATACATACATATATGTACATCTAATTTCCCGCCATCCATCTTTGTATTCTGAGTTGCACATTCCAAAGATTATTTAACATCCTTTACACTCTATCATTTAAGGCCTTGACGTACGAGATTTGAATGGCTACAATGCCACCGGCGTCATGAAAGGTCAAATGGCCTCACGCAATGGCATACGTCATAGTGCTGCACGTTCATTCTTGCGTCCCGCACGCAACCGTAAGAATCTTCACATTCTACTTAATTCCACCGCTACCAGAGTGCTCTTCGAACCGAACAGTACAATCGTTAATGGTGTTGAATTGATCGATAGTAATAACAATACTATCACAGTATCTGTGAGGAAAGAGGTGGTCGTCAGCGCTGGCGCTTTGGACTCACCAAAAGTACTATTGCTTAGCGGTATTGGACCAGCTGACGAACTAGAAAAAGTCAACGTAACTGTCGTACACGATCTGCCCGGTGTTGGCAAAAATCTACACAATCATGTTTCCTATTCACTAACCTTCTATGTTAACGAAACCAACACTAACACTCTAAATTGGGCAACCGCATCGGAATATCTTCTCTTCCGCAATGGTCTGCTTTCTGGCACTGGTATTGGTGATATGACCGCTAAATTTAGCACAAAATACGCCGAATCATCCAGAGGACCCGATATACAAGTCTTCTTCAGTGGCTACTCGCCTAGATGCTCCGATACCGGTGCAATTGGTGAGCTTCGATCGAACGGCTCGCGATCCATACAGATGTCCCCCGTCAATGTGCATCCCAAATCACGTGGATCCGTTACACTCGCTTCCAATAATCCCCGTGACAACGCACTATTTGTCGCTAACTACTTATCCGTGGAGCAGGATGCAAAAACACTCATTGAAGGCATCAAGTTTGCTATCAAATTGGGAGCTACTCCAGCGCTCCAGGAATTCGGTTTGAGTCTGGATGAGACTCCGGAAGCGGGATGTACATCATACGACTTCGGCACGGATGAATACTGGGATTGCGCTATACGATACAATACTGCTCCCGAGAATCATCAAGCGGGCTCCCTTAAAATGGGTCCAGCAAACGATACCTTGGCTGTGGTGGACAATGAGTTGCGCGTGTATGGCGTGCAAGGTCTTCGTGTTATGGACACATCCATCATGCCAGTCGTAACTTCGGGCAATACGCATGCGCCAGCTATAATGATCGCAGAGAAGGGTGTCTACCACATCAAGCAATCTTATGGCGTCGTAGTGAAATCGAGGACCAATCGCAGCCACAGGGGCCACCACAACTAAGTCCAAATTATTATAATTTAACTAGTTGGGATTTGAAAATTTATTGGATGCAAATTATTCAATTGTGGATATAATTTCTTATTAGTTTTGCTAACTTTAAAATTTCTTTATTTTCATTTTCGTTATTCTCTGACACTTTATAGCGTTTCATTGCTCTCCCGAACACTTTTGGTATATATGTATATGTCGTATCTATATTTGTATCCCTTTTTGGTTCAGAATTGCAATGAAATGCATTTAAAGCAAAGAGGTTTGAATATATATGCGTGTAAATAAAACAGTATTGAAAAATATATAATTTCGTTTGTGCAATTTTATATTTGTGTAAGGACACTGTACAGTCTTTTGCGCGGTACTGCGCTGGAGCTGAGTAAGGCATTCGGTTTGATTTGGTTAGAAAGGTATCGCAAATAATATTTGTGTAAGTATTGTAAACAAAGTGGTAAGACCTCTTCACTTCAACGGTTGGATGATCTTATATTTGGAGCGCAGTTTTAATCGTGGCACAAATACATATATGTATGTATTACAATCAGTATTATAAGTTAACATTTAGATTTGAGCCATTAAGCTGTCGTCAATCTGAGTGGTCTACTAGCATCTCAGAGTCATCTTATCAACCTTATCAGCGGCCGCATTTTCGACAGTTTTGCTATCTTAATTCGATTACCCAGCGAAGAGTAACAACAATGTGATCCAGTGAAGTCAATGCGGCAAACAATTTCTGTACAATCACCGATCTCACTACTTTGGATCTCATTGCTTTCAAAGCTTCTGCATGCGAGCCTTTCAGCCGGTCTGGCTGACCCACTTAGGTAGCAGGGCTCCTCCGGACTATTGAAAAAGTACAAGCGCAAGTGCCTAAGCCAAAATAAAGCAAAAGCAGGGCAGTTTAAGAGGAAATATTGTGGTGATTCCAACTTCAAGTCCTCGAACTCGCACTCCCCCTTTACTTGGCGATATTAACTTCCTCAAAGATGCCGCCTCTCTATGTCTTTAATTAGAAGAAGCTGCTAAGAAGATAATTAAATTATACAAAAAAAAAAATACTTCGATTTTCATTATCGCTAGAAATAAGTAAAAGGTATATTATTTTAGGAAGGATTATATGGATACCATCTTCGATTATATTGCACTTTTTTCATATGAAACTATAAAACTTAGTTAAAAATATGATAGAAAAAATAAAAAAGGGTACGTGTTTTATGGTAACAGACCAGAAAATTTAGTACTGCTACGAACTTGCATTATTTTTTTTCATAGCCCCAAAATATTATTCTCTAAAAAAAATGTTTGTTTTTTTAAAAAAGGAAATTGCTATTAAAAAAATTATTTTTTCACGGAAAAATGTTCGTCGCATAAAATATTTATGTCCAATGTTTTGTGAGTTGTAATTTCAGTTTGAAAGTTTTTTCCGGATATATATAAATTTTTCTGAACAGTTTTTTTTTCAAATTATTAAAACTTAAATTTATTTTGTTCCAAGAAAATATTACGATTAGCATAGATATTGTGTAAANAAATATTTATGTCCAATGTTTTGTGAGTTGTAATTTCAGTTTGAAAGTTTTTTCCGGATATATATAAATTTTTCTGAACAGTTTTTTTTTCAAATTATTAAAACTTAAATTTATTTTGATCCAAGAAAATATTACGATTAGCATAGATATTGTGTAAATCTAAGTAAGGGTAAAATATATTTGAATCCATTTTCTCAAAAAAAAAATTTATATTATCCTAAAAACCTTTTTTTGAAAAAAAAAAAAAAAAAA